CCGCAGATGACTCCAGAGGAGCAGACGGCGGGCGAGCTGAGACATGCGGCGAGAGCGCATACCCCCCATACGGCTGATATACGCCACCGCCGCCGTACTGTCCGTCCTGACCAGCACGTGTTGCCGCTCCAGCACCGGAAAAAAAGCGGTGGAGAGCGAGGAACACTGCCAACAGCTCCAGGCGATATGCCAATGCAACTGGGTACCTTTCCACAGGTCCGAAGCCGCATGCCGGCAACGCACAGCCCCCCAGTTCGTGTTGGAAGCGTCTGCTGAAACGACAACAAGACTGGACGCCTGTTCTAGAGACACCCAGGCCTGTAGGAACGAGGGGTTGCTCCAAGGGCTGAGGGCGCGGCGACACAGCGCAGTAACAGAGACTCGGTGTGCGCGAGCCATGCGCGTCTGGGGACTCGATCGTGAAGCCAGTGCTGAAGCGGTCTCATATAGAATAATCGGAGCGGCATGAAGCGGCTGCGGATGTCATATGCCCCAGGAGCCTCTGAAATAGTTTCAGTGGGACCACTATTTTACTGTCGAGCTCTCTCAGACAGTACAGCATCAGCTGAGCACGCTCTCCGGAGAGGCGCGCTGCCATGGTGACCGAGTCCAGCTCCAGCCCGAGAGAAGAGATCCTCTGCACGGGGGCGAGTTTGCTCTTTTCTCGGTTGACCTGAAACCCCCACAGGTGGAAGTGCCAGAGCACTTTGTATCTGTGCATAATCAATTGCTCCGAGAGAGGGCAAAAATCAGCCAGTCGTAAAGAAATCGAGTATGCAGATGCCCGCGAGCCGAAGGGGCGCTGAGGCACCCTCCACGGGCTTGGTGAGGACCCGCGGAGACAGAGAGAGCCCGAAGGGGAGGGCTTTGTATTGCCAAGCTCGACCTTCAAACGCAAACCGCAGAAACTGACGGTGGCGAGGAAGAGTGGAGACATGGAAATACGCGTCCATCAGGTCTAATGATACAGACCAACCCAGAGGACGAACGCACCGGAGGATGCGCTTCTGCATGAGCATTCTGAACGGCAGCTTGTGCAGGCAGCGGTTCAAAACGCGTAGATCTAGGATTGGCCGTGACCCACCGCTCTTTTTGGGCACAATGAAGTGTGGGCTGTAAAACCCGCTCTCCATCTCGGCTGGAGGGAGCGGCTCGATTGCATTCTTCGCCAGGAGGACAGCAATCTCCTCTCGCAAGACAAGGGCGGACAGGGGGCTGACCCTGGTGAATACACACCCGCGACTTGGGGGGCCGTTTCGCGAACTGAATCGCATAGCCGAGTTTGATTGTACGTATGAGCCACCACGAAGAGCTGGCCCGCGCTAACCAGGCAGGCAGAGCTCCCGCTAATGGACTCATCGCTACAATCGCTGACGTACCAGCAGTGGGGCAGCGCGGAGTGGGTGTGCTGATCCGGGAAGCTCGCGGGTCCCACGGAAAAGCTGGAGGTGAGATATTTGCTCTCACTCCGAACCCGAGCTCCGGAGGGGAGGCTCGAGGGGTGGAAGAAAGGAGACCGTCCTCCCAGCGCTCGTGAGCCACTGGCGAAACGCACCGAATCTGCAAGCTAGAAAGCATAGCGTCCCAGACTGGCAGATTTCGGGCTGTCACATCTGGGGAAGTGAAAAGTGCCCTTTCATGTAGTTTTCATGGCAGTAAAAAGTGCCGTTGTGAAATGGGGCCCCGCCCTCCAGCGGGGAAAGAGCAAGTTCCCTCTTCTCCAGATGGCCTGTCCCAGGGACGCTTCGCGGTCCGTTGCCAGACTTAGCGGCGTTCTGGGCAGGGGGGCTGCCTGCTTCCGAGGTGCCCGACGCGCTCGCTTCGCCAGAGGCGTGTGCGGGGGCGGAGCAGCTCTCGTAGGCGGGCGCCTTCGGCGAGGAGCAGGTATGAATGGCACGGCGAGCGGAGCGGGCTACGGACCGCCGATAAGACATCACCCATCAACTGCTCTCTCACCGCCTTGAATTCCTGGGTGAATTCACAGACGGTGTCGCCGAACATGGCTTGGGATATGGGGAAAGTCAAGAAAGCGGACTTTGTCGACTTCGCGCATATCAGCCAGGGGTGGCGCTCCTGGATCACTAATGTGGACATCGTCCTCCCCAACGCACACGCAGCGGACTCAGTAGTCCGAAGAGCTAAGTCGGCGGCGGTGCGAAGCTCGTAAGCCTGGGTTGGACCCACCCTCGTGCAGCTCGGCCAGCGCCTGCGCCAGGTAGCGCTGGTAGGTGGCTATCTCATGCAAGGCGGAAGCAGCCTGGCCCGCAGCTATGTAAGCTCTAGCTCTGAGGGAGGTAGATAACTTACAGGCTTTGGATGGGAGACGAGGCGGACCCCGCCAAGAAGAGGCGCCGCGCAGATTTACCGCCATCGCGCACTCAACCTGAGGAAACCCCCTGGCTGTTCCACCGTCAAGAGTGGTTAGGGTGGAGGGACACGCAGCACGAACAGAAAAAAGTGCTTTACAAGACCGCGTGAGCCTACTGTGCGCCTCCGGGAAGAAGGGAACGCCCCTCTAGTCGGTCCGGCCGCGGAGCTGGGGGATAAACCATCTCCAACCCACGGCCGAAGCAGCCCGGGAAAGCACGGCTAACATGTCCGTTTCAGGATCCGTAGTGACAGCACTCACCAGCCCGAACGGGGCGAGCGGGTCTGGATCATCATCGGACAATGAAAGCCCACCCTCCAATGCCGCGGTGGACGTCTGGTCTCCGGTGTCATCGGGCGTAAGGGCTACCATCTGTTAGACGGATCGCTTCCCCCGCCCGAAGCTTGGATGGAGCGCTTAGAGGAGCGGGAGGTCCGCGGGCCCGTGGGCGACGGATTATCTCTCGCTGAAACCCTCAGATCTGCCCGAGTGCCCGCTGCAGAGCAGGGGACAACTGGGGTGGTTCGCCCTTTTGCAAAGGCTAGCCGCGATCTTTACTGCGCAACAGTCAAGGCATCGCAATGACGACATGAACTGCCCGCGAGCAGCGCATTAACATGCTGGACCCCACAGACATGCAACGCAGTGCTCGTGCCCATCATCCGAGGACAGGAAACCACCGCATCCAGAAACGCACAGTCGGAGCGCCGTCCTGAAAAGGACGTGCTGCACGACTGTGTTGCTCTTTCTGTGAAGTTTGCAACTTTATACGCACCGCTCTGGAGGACCGGACCCAAAGAACGCCAGGCAAGGGAGAAACCCAGCTCGACCGTCTGCCGCTGCGTGTACACACTCTGGACCGGGAGAATGCTCTCGTTCGCTCAGAATCGCTGGTCACAGCAGGAGGAACCCTCATCGACTCGATCAGAAAGTCTCTGAAGCGAAAAGGATGGCGTCTGCTCGCTCCGGGTGTGCTTATATGCTGGGATAATTGGCAATGAAGTACACCTGTGCAAGCTTACGCTGCCAATTTCATGCATTCATTGGCCCGTTCAATACTCTTTCAGACAAGCGGCTTCTGAACCGAATCCTCCCATTTCGTGGATATCAATCAATCCACTCTATGGCACTGAAGTTCCCCAACCGAAGGGGAACTGTGTAATATTTTAGTCTCAATTTTTCACGCAATATTGTGTTCCAATTTAGATTATTTAAAATATTTATTCAATATTTATTTTATTATTTGAAATTATGTATTTAGAAATATTTTTGAATTATTTTCATTATTTTTAACTACTATTTTATTGTTTAAAACAATAATAATGATAATTATTATTATTATTATTATTATTATTTATATTATTATTGTTGTTATTATTATTTATAATTATTATTATTTTAATCATTAATAAAGGTAATTTATTGTAATATTTTATTTATTCACTAAATTATTTCTATATTAAGCATTTTTATTATTTTAATAATTTTCTTCCAGACATTTTTTGCTTTCTTTCTAGACCTTACTTGCAGCCCCCTAGGGGTCCACAGAACCAAGTTTGAAAATCTACTTAACAAGTGTGTTTAGTATGTAGACCAACACAAAAATAGCATCCAATTTATATTACGAAGCCTTAATTACAAAATACTTACGGCCACATGAATAATTTCTTACAAAGTGCTTATTGCGTAAACTTGTGCTTTTACATTGTACTAATGATTGATTAAATACCTACATACCTTGTATTTTTTTTCTTGATTAATTAGTAGTTCAATTAATTTATTTATTTGAAGTAAAATCAAAAAAAATTTAGTTGCAAACTACTGTAAATAATAAATCACACACGCAGACATACACACACACACACACACAAAAATACACCTCGTCCCTGAATGTGCCAAAACGCACACAGCAACCATTTGCAAATAAAGCTGAAGACCTTTGAGTTTTGCATTTCAATGTTTACCAAAAGCCTACATTGTAAGATCCAGTAAATTACATCCAGCTTTTACGGTAAAACAAGAAATATACACTTTTTTTTTTTTATGTGAGATAAGAAGGATCAAAAGGCCATCTAGTAGACAACAACAATTTAGGCCGAGCAAATTCATTGTTAAATTTATTTTCTGTTGTTCTTTATCAGTATCTGTTCTATCAGATTTCTCAATTCTAATGGTCATTTTGCAATGGCAGTTACAGATCTAATCAATGGCTACTTTTGCAGCATCTAGAGGCTTGAATGAGTTGCAAATCTTCCTTCTCACAAATATCTAATTTAGTATAATTATAAAGTATTTGATTGATCTGATTCAAGAAGAACACAAATCATTTGAAAAAAAAAAATAACCGAATTAAACTGCAAAGTTCAAAGGTGAACACAGGAAGTATTTTTTCAACTGCCCATGGTTTCCTGTTCATATGTTACTTAAATATGACTCAAGAATTTTTACTTTACTATGGTAATATGAATTGCTGTAACAATTTTTTTAAACAGGAAATATTGCCTGACCACAGAGAGCTGTGGTGTAAGACTGAACTTCTTTTGACTTTGGTAAATGAATAACTTGCTGATCTCCAGAGGCAAGAGGTTCAGAAACAGACCAACAAAAAAGCTACTTGTGAATTGAGCTCAAAATGAATGTTCCTGTAAAACTCCTGGGCTTCGTTGTTTGGTTGTTGTGCTTAAAATGTGGCCAGTGTAAAGGCAAGTATAACTTTAAGTCCACTTGATTAGAACTCAATTGATTTGCATGTAAATATTATATTGTATGGATATTCCTAAACATTTTGTGTGCGCATGCATACGACAGTTAAACTTTGTGTAAAGAGTAGTGTTTATATGTGCTCTTCAGATTGTCTTCGAGATGACATTACATATGAAAATGTAGAACCAGTTTCAGAAGCGTCATATGCTGATGGAAAAACAGTGAAGGTGACCTGCGAGACAGGGTATACTGGCATGTACAGATTAAAGTGTGAAAACGGAAAATGGAGTGAAAACATTGCGCGACCATGTGCAAGTAAGACAAAAAATCAATGTGATCAAATAATTTTTGCAGGGTTATTAAACAAATGGCATTATGCTGAGTAAAACTCATTTGATTTTAATAGAGAAAAAGTGCAGTCATCCAGGGGATGCAGCAAACGCTGATTTTAAACTTTTAGATGGGACGGAGTTTGTATTTGGAACAACGGTGGTGTATACTTGCAAGAAAGGGTAAACTTGTTTCATGCTTTTTTTATTCAATTGTATGACACACCGTCATACTCGGTTTAAAATTTCTTGAACCTGTAAAGAGTTTAAAACATGTTGACAGATATGAAATGACAAGCAGAATCAATCAGCGTACCTGCCGATCTCAAGGATGGGATAATGCCATCCCTGAGTGTGAAGGTATGCTTTTTTTTCACTATTTCCTTTTGTTTTCTCATAAACGACTTAAGAGTATTTACAGATTAGTTTTGTTGAGCGATTGATTTCTATTTTATTTTCTTGTCTAGCGGTGAAATGTCCAGCCATTCGCACGGACAGAGAGGTGATTGCATCGGGCAACACAGAGGAAGGGAATTATGGCGAAGTTATTCATTTTGAGTGTGCATCTTCTGAGAAAAAGATAGACGGAAGCAGAGACATTCACTGCACAGAGAAGGGCGACTGGAGTGCCCCGGTTCCAAACTGCATAGGTTCGTTCAATTGTGCTTTATTTGATTTGTTTTTTTTTTTCTGAAATCACAAGTTTTTTTGCGATTTAACAACTTTAAATATGTTGTTCCTTATCTTTTATTTTTATTTTTTTTAACTCAGAGATAACATGCACAGCACCTGACTTACTAAATGGAGAATTTATTGATTTGATGCCAGTATATCAGAAAGATGCCACATTAAAATATAGATGCAACCAAGGGTACAAGATTAGAGATGCATTTCCCAGATGTGCCTCACATGGCTGGACTCTGAACCCTGAATGTGATGGTAATTCACCGCTGTTATGATAAGTGAAGTTGAAATAACATGGAATCTGAATCATTGGTTTTAATTTATTGAAAACTAAATATTTGTTTGTCTGACTTTTACCTTTATGGCTGAGCTTTAATGCAGTCAGCACACCAATATTTGAATTAGTTGACTAAATGTAACAATATTATTTCATTTTTGAACATTTGTGACAATTTTAGATATCAATTTAGCAAATGTAAAAGTTCTTAAAACATTTAAAACGTGTTTGTAATACTTATTTAGTGACAACAAACTGTATTTATTAAACAGTGATTAATTTACTTTTTTACATTTCTATATAACTGGTTTAAATGGTATGCCTTCTACAGTTGTAACTTGTGAGCTTACATCAAACTATGAGGTGAAAAAGGTCGTCCCAGAAGGAAAAACTATTTTCAAAGCTGGAGAAAGAGTGACAATTACCTGCACTGAAAAAACCTGGTTTAGATCAAAAGAAACCAGCAGAACATTTACATGTCAAGATGATGGGCAGTGGGACTCTAATCCTGTTTGTGAAGGTAAGATTAGAAAGAGAGAGAAAAAAAAAACACTTCTAGATTTGGTTATTTACTGCATGTTATTTAAAGATCTCAAATCTTATTTCAGTGATTACATGTGAACCTCCATCACGTGACCAGCATGTGTCCACCTCCTTTTGGAGGACCTGGAAACTGGACGAATCAAAATATTACGAGTGTGTTTGGGGGTATTATAAAAAGGCAGAAGAGGCCACATGCACACGAGATGGATTAACACCAAAACCCCTGTGTGTTGGTATGTCCTGCTGTTAAACCTCACAATTTGTGCAAATGAGTCCTCAAATTTGACTTACTATGATTTGTTTTACAGAAATCGTCTGTGCATCTCCTGATCTGCCAAATGCAAAAATCACAAGAGGTCAGGAATCAAAGTACAAACTCAATGCAGCAATAGAATATAAATGTCACCCTGGATTTGAACCACAGGGCACTGTACAAATCACCTGTATATCCTCGGGTCAATGGTCAGGCATACAGAAATGCACTGGTATGTTGTGGTGTTTTAAAATTTTGTTTTCTCATTTCCCGAAAAGAATTCAAATTATTATGATGAATATTTGATTTACAGGAATGTGTGGAAGACCTGATATCCGAAATGCAAAAATTGAAGGAGCTCTAAGACAAAGTTACAGTACTGCATCAACATTGCAATATAAATGTAATCCGGGATTTGAACCTGAAGAAACTGTTGAAATAACTTGTAATCCCCAGGCTCAATGGACAGGTTTACAGCAGTGCACTGGTTTGTAAGATTACTGCCATTAATTCCACTCATTTTTTTATTTTTATTATTCAGTCTAATAATTGTATATTGCTCATATAAAACAAAATATGTAAAGCGTCTTGAAACTGTTTCCTTGCAGAAAAGCAAGATTGTGATAGTCTACATGTGAAAAATGGGTTTAGTCAACCCTTGAACAAGAAAGAAGTCCTTTACTCCTGCAACGAGGGTTACAAACCATTGACTGGGGAATGGTGGAGCTCAGTCACGTGCAGCAAAGGCTCTGATGCTCCTCTGTGCATCCGTGAGTTTGATTATTCTCAGTGTCAAGTGTGAAACAGTTGATAATGTACTCAAAGGTGTTTTCTGTCATCTGTCTTTACAGGGGAGGAAGAATGTGGTGATTTGCCCAGTGTTCAGAATGGAAAACTAAAACTTAAAGATCAAAAAACTGCTGAAGTTGATTGTGATCCAGGATTCATATCAGATCCACCTTCCATAAAGTGCATCAGAGGTACATGGGAAACACCAACCTGTAATGGTGAGCTTCACAAACCAACAGCTTCATAAACAAATTCATAAAATTACCTTGTATAAAGTCTTACTGATTTTTATTTATTTATTTATTTTATTTATTTATTTTTTTAGCGGGTGTGAGGTGTAGCACTCCTCCAAAAGTTGTTAACGCACTTATAACCTCCAAGCCAAAATTATTTTATATAGATAAATCTATTGTAACATATGCATGTCGAAGTCCGTTCACAATGAAAGGGCAAAGTACAGTTTCCTGCCTCAATGGAAAATGGGAGGAAACACCAATATGTGAAGGTGAGATTTATAAGAATATTAAATACAAATATTGTTTTGTATTGTATTATTGAAATCAACTTTAAATAATTGAAATAATTTACTCCACTCAAGCATCATTGCAAATTTTCTTTATACAGGCATTATAAAATGTATTGGGTGAATTTTGTGTTTACATTTTGTCGTTAAATCAAACAAGAGTTTTCTTAAGCCTCTCAAACTCTTATGACAAGTCTGTGAGGTGAAGTGATGGTTGACATTGACAGTGCTCTGGAAAATCAAATCTATGGAATAACATTTACCTCAGTGTATTTAGAGTTTATGAATTCACATACTTTACTTCTCTAGGGGGTGACCAGTGTGACGCTCCACCAAAAGTTGAAAATGCAGACATAACATCCAAACATGAAGACTTTTATGTAGATGGATCTAGCGTAACATATGCATGTCGAACCCCATTCTCAATGAAAGGGGAAAGTACAGTTTTCTGCCGCTTTGGAATTTGGGAAGAACCACCAACATGTGAAGGTGAGATTTTGATCAGTGATGATAAACAGAAAACATTGTGATAATAATTGCAAAATCTATTTTATTGAAGACCATCAAAAATTTGAGTTGCCACTTTTTGTCCACCTGCTATATAGTTTCAGCTGTCATATGCATTGTATAAAAAGTATAAAGATATAAGGCAAGGCTGGTTTATTTATAAAGCACATTTCATACACAAAGTGCTTTACACAAACAGGAATAAAAGAGACAAGTATAAGAAAATAAAAACAAAGAATAAATGATTAAAAAACAGAAACAAACATATTCAAATGTGTTAAGTAGGTTTTAAAAGAATGAAAAAGAAAAGAAAGAGATAATAGTGTCTTCTGTGCCAATCTGTCGGACGAAGCACAGTGCTCATTCAGTAAAAGCACAGCTAAACAGATGTGTTTAAAGTCTTGATTTGCACCTCCCTAATGTTGGACTACATCTGATCTGTCTCTCTACTGCTGCAAAGAGAGTGTGGGCGTTAAGTTGCTATTTATAAGGTTTGGAAAAAAATTGCCTAGCAATGTTTTGTTCCACATTAAAAGCATGAAGGCTGTTATTATAGATGTTATAAATCTGATTTCATCATCTGTACTGCTGTTGACTTTCTCCAAGGTGCTTTTTGTCTCCCAGTCCTCTTTCTGACTTTAACAGGAGCAATGTCATCTATGACATTCTTAACTTTAGAGCTTATCAAACCAAGGAGAAAATCAACAGAGTCTGCAGATATGCTTGGTGCCAGCGATATGGCCTTCATTTAATAGACACCACTTTTGAATTATTTGCTATACAACTTGAAGAGGCCTTTAATTTTCTGTCACATAATAAAACACTAATCTGCGTAGAGAAAACTACAGGCATGCTCAGTTCTCGCTTTTTCTGTAAACATTTGATAAGGCTAGTGTTATCTAAGCGGGCACACGACACATAACTGAGAGTTGTTTCATTCAACAGCTGAAGATGGGGCTTTGTTTGGGTCCTGGTAGTGTGACAAGAGCCGGGGGGCTCTTGCAGGTGAGCACAGAGGTGGATGTGAAGCTCGCCACTTTTTGGTTGCAGCAAATTAGTGTAAAAGTTACACCAGTCCTCCATCTTTTTTTTTTAATTTAGGAGAGGCGAGCAGGGTAGCAAGGAGAGCGTGTCTGATGACAGAGGCTGTGGCAGTCTTGTGCATCTTCAAAGTTTTCTCAAGTTCTTTGTTTACATCAGAAATTGTTGCATGAGAGAAGTAATATGTCATTGTAGCAATGCTCCTAAAATTTCTGATTATTGAATCTTCAAAAATCAGTGTCCTTATCTCAGCTGTGAGCGATGCAGAATGCTGCTGTCTGAGCTCAACCAGCATAGCATCTCAAGCAGCATATGATCTGAGATCTGACCCCGCGAGAACCTTTTGGTTTCCTATCCTTGTTTATGCCATCGGTTTTCAAGTAGCTAGAGTAGATTTACGGGGCTCACCGGCTGTATGCTGTGGGGGTTGACGATGAAGTGGTCTTGTGTGATCCGGGAGTTTCCCTTCATATGGGAACTTCTACGTGTGTCTGTATAAACAGACTTTGGGAGTGCTTCAGATGGCCAATCATTTCTGAAGATATAAAAACGGCCCAATGAAATGCCAATTGAATTGGCGGAGCTTAGCTCCACAGCTGAAACTGATGAGCCAATTAGGGCTATATCAGTCAGCGAAGTGAGTTAGCTTGTCAGAATTGTTGCTTCAGACCCCATTTGAGACTGAAGAACCCTTCTGCTGAGCTGACTTCTAACGTTGAAGAAAGCATTTCCTTCATGTGGGAGAAGACGTTTTAGCGGCGGTTGAGCTGGGTTTCCCGTCCCCTTGGCGCAGGCCCGGCGCTACGGGGGGGCAAAGGGGGGCATTGCCCCCTCAGAAAGATTTTGTGCCCCCCCCAGTTTTTATAAAGGATTGTTCACTCAAACTGAAAAGTCATTAATTATTAACACCCCTGTCGTTCCAACCTTAAGAACACACATTTAAATATTTTAAAATATATGACATATCAATTGAATTATGAAAATGGTGAGATTAAAACTAGTCCTATAGTTCAGAGATCCGGTCCCCGCATCAGGTCAGGTGCGCCCGTAAATAGCCTTTAAAACGCGCACACGGCGATGGAGGCGCACTCAACTCACAAGGGAGAAAAGTGGGTGACATGATAGGAGCAGCTTAATTCATTACATGCTTTGGTTAACTAATTATTTAAACACAACTCTCTTGAGCTCTAAAAGGAAAAAACACATAAGAAACTTGCTGTTAAATTAATTTTAGCAGAGACGCAACTGCCAGTCATTTTTTAGTTCGGGAAGATGTAGCCTATAAAAATGTTTTAATAAAAACAAATAGCCTAGTTTACTGCACAGTCCCACAGTAGGCTACACTATAAATAATATTTTTATTTATTTATTAATATTATTATTAATATTATTACAATTAAACTAAAATTGACAACGCAGAACTCTCTGAATGTTTGCTTTCATTTTGCTAAAAAGCACAATTTTACAGTTGTGTAGAGAAATATCCCATTATGCAGCAGCTGTCAAGGTATAACACATAATAAATGCCTTTTGTGTTTATTAAGTCAAGTTTGCAGTGTTATGAATGGAATATAGTGCTTAAGTGGATTTATCGCGGATCAACCGAGAAACCTCTCACGTGCTGCAGGTAAGCAGAATGATAATCTTTTAAAAATGTCATTTATGCTATACTACTTTTTGCTCATGCAAAATTAAACAACATAAATTGTAGATCTATTTTAAGAGCTAAAATACAACATATTGAGTTTGTTTTGACTTGTAGCCCTAAAATGAAAATAACCTGAAAACAAGCTATTAAAAAAAGGCTTAATAAATAAAATAATTAATAAATAAAATGACGGGTAGGCCTAGTAACCTAATGGTTTATGATGGTTTACAATATCACGAAAAAAACACACTTATGATAGCCTAAGATAAATCTTTGTTTTTACATTTAAAATGATGAAAAAAAAGTTATATAGCATGTTGAGTTGTGTGTTATCCGTGCCAAAATTTAACCAATTTTAACGGTAATAACATGTGAATTTTGGTATCTTTTTTGGGGGTTTTTTTTTGGCTACACTAATGCATTAAAATGAAACTAAGTAATTGTTTTAAATGACATTAGATTGTAACATTTAGCTTTTCCCTAACACTGATGTTGGTTGGATAATATAGGCTACGTGAAGCGGGATGACTCGGTTAAGCTGATTTCACTATAGTTATTTACCGGTTAAATTAATAGTCTGATCGTGGGTCAGCTTGCATGCGTGGGCATAATTTGACGTCTTTACCTAAAACTTTAAAACATTCATAGGCCTGTTATTTAAAATAAAACGGATATAAGGAGAATAACATATGATTTAAAGCACTCGTTTGGCACTGAAGCTATGATCCGTCTGCATTAATAAGCGGTAAGCATTACCATCGTTAATAAAATTCGTAATAGCGAAACTGCATATTATTATTACTATTAAAACGTAGCCTATATTACTGCCTTAGGTCAGTAACTTAGGCAGTAATGCAAGGTAATAATAAATGTGAATAAATAGCCTAAATGAAAGAAACAAGAGACCAAAATCAGTCACCAGGTCTAGTGCCCCCCTATGGATTTAAAGTGCCCCCTCAGTTTTGACTTCCTGGTGCCGGGCCTGCCTTGGCGTTTTGCTTGTGATCTGAAAGAGCAGTTTTCTACAAAGAGTAGAATTGCCAAACAAAGAGAGTACATGGTCGTGCAGCAATTCTTTTTAAAGATGTCGTTTCAACCGTGCGTTTCTGGATGCGGTGGTTTCCTCGATCCGGATGACAGGCACGAGTATTGTGTCAAATAATTGGGGGTCCAACATGTTCTTGCCCGCATTGCGATGTCTTGACTGTTGCGCAAATGAGGTCGCGGCGAGCTCTTTTATAAGGGCAAGTCACCCCTGCTGCTCCCCCCCAAGCAATTAGCACTTGGGCAGGCCTAAGGGGTTACAGTGGGGGATAATCCGTCGCCTTCGAGCCTGCGGCCCCCTCGCTCTTCGCCAGTGCGTTCTGTTTCTGCTTCGAGTGGGAGCGCTGGTCCATCCTCCGGGCTGGTCATGGCTTGTCCCCCTTAACCGCGGCTGGACCGCTTAGACGGGTGCTACGTGGGGGTGAAGAAAAAGGCGTCGTCCCCTTCTTTCCGGAGGTACACAGAGAGCTTATGCAGGCATGGAGGGCACCTTTTTCTGCCCGGTAATCGTGCTCTCCCGCTCTCACCTCCCTCTATGATGGAGCGGCCAGGGGATATAAGGCGGTTCCCCAGGTGGAGCGTGCTAGCCGCTCTACTCTTGGAGATTCGCTCAAACTCCCTTCCAGGGCATGCAGGTTATCAGAGTTTCTCATGGCCAGAGCCTTCACTGCTGCAGGCCAGGCGCCCCTGCGCTGCCCGCTCCACCAGCCAATCGGCAACGCCGAGCCTCCCGCGGGACTGTGACGCCACCGCTCCAGGGCGCCGTTCCCAAGTTCGCCCTCCCAAGTTCACGGGTATCCCTTTCACGAGGGTAATCCCCGAGAGTGCCCCTGTCTTGCGAGAGGAGATTGCTGTCCTCTTGGCGAAGTATGCAATCAAGCAGGTACCTCCAGCCGAGATGACGTCCGGGATTCCGGCCCGTATTTCATCGTGCCCAAAAAAAGCTGGGGGGTTAAGGCCAATCCTAAATCTGCGCAGACTGAACTGTCATTTAAACAAAATGACTTTAGAATGCATCCGCATACTCAACTATCGTGACGATTAGCTCATTCTAGACTCGTTCCGCGATCAGCTGATTATGCACAGAGACAAAGTGCTTTGGCACCTCGACCAGTTGGGGTTTCAGGTCAACCGAGAGAAGAGCAAACTTTGCCCCGTGCAGAGGATCTCTTATCTCGGGCTGGAGCTGGATTTGGTCGCTATGGTTGCTCGCCTCTCTGAGGAGCGCGCCAGGCTTATGCTCTCCTGTGTAAACAAGCTCCACAGGAAGAAATTTTCAGAGGCTCCTGGGGCATATGGCATCCGCAGCCGCGGTCACGCCGCTCGGTTTGCTTCACATGAGACCACTTTGGCGTTGGCTTTGCGATCGAGTCCCCAGACGGGCACACGCTCGGGAAGCATGATCTAATTGTCCGATTCCTCAGAGGCGCGTGGCAGTTAAATCCGTCCCGCCCCCCTCTCATGCCCTCTTGGGCTCTCTCTCTATTCCTACAAAGACATCTGCAGAGAGATCCATTCGAGCCACTCGAGTCAGTATCTCTTAAAATTCTGTCATTAAAGACACCTCTGCTGATCGCATTGGCGTCATGCAAGAGAGTTGGGGATCTGGAGGCATTTTTGGTCAGCGAATCGTGCCTTGAATTCGGGCCCGGTTACTCTCACGTTGTCCTGAGACCCCGGCCTGGCTATTTGCCCAAGGTTCCTACCACCCCATTTAGAGATCAGGTAGTGAACCTGCAAGTGCTGCCTTCGGAGGAGGCAGGCTACACCCACTCGCTGCTTTGTCCCATTCGCGCTTTGCGCCTTTACGTGGAACAAATGCAAAATGTACGATCATGTGAACAGCTCTTCATCTGGTACGGTGGTCGGCAGAAGGGAAGTGCCGTATCAAAAAAGAGGTTGGTTAGTTGATGCCATCGCCCTCGCTTATCAATGCCAGGGCGAGCCAGGCCCTCCTAACGTGAGAGCGCACTCTACAAGAGGTGTTGCTTCCTCATCACGCGTCGCCTCTCTTACAGATATCTGCAGAGCTGCGGGTTGGGCGACACCTAACACATTCGTGAGGTTTTATAATCTTGGAGTGGAGCCCGTTTCCTCCCGGTTATTGGGTACCCCAATCAATCGGGGGGGAATTAAGCTGCGCCATGCTCCCTAACCCTGAAAAGCGTGCGCTTTATCCTACTCTGCTAGTAAATTTCCTTTCTCAGAGGAACCCTAGAGAGTTCCTCCGAGGCCCCCATCATCGACTCAGCGGAGGAGTCGAATGCATGGCTCAGTGTGCAGTGGGTACGCCCATTTGGTCTACACGCATATTGAGGATCGGTGCCAGCTATGTGCATCCCCATTTGGTGATGCCATATGCATTATTACCACGGTGTGTTCCCCCTTATCAGGCGGTCCCGTGTCTTCCCTAAACCGCTAACCAGCTTATCATATGTAGCACTCCCCCTCATTAGGGCTATTCTATATGCCTCCTTACCATCAGGTCTCCCTTTCTGGGTAGCAGGTGGTTTCCGCTGCGTCCTCCCCCTGCAGGGACTGACGTTTTCCCAATGTACTGTCATATTTCCAAAAATCCCTAGTCTATATTAGCTAGGTAAAAGCACACTTATGACCCCCGAATAACATTAAACATTTATTCCCATGTAATGGTAATATGTTGGGCCTAGGGGACGTTGGAAGGTTGCGTTCTTGGTTATGTCAGTGCGCTCACGCTTTGGCTTGGCAAACTAAACATCAGGAGCGTGACGGGCTTTCCATACAGACTGCCAAAGTCTGTTTATACAGACACACGTAGAAGTTCCCATATGAAGGGGAACTTCCAGGTTATGTACGTAACCCACGTTCCCCGAATAGAAAACGGAGACGTGTGTCTCAACTGCCACAGCACCAGCTGGTCACAGAGTCTCCAGCTGGGAGCTGAGCGATCGGCTCTTCAGCAGGCAAAATTCTATCGAGCTAACTCACACAGCCGACTGATATAGCCCTGATTGGCTCATCAGTTTCAGCTGTGGAGCTAAGCTCCTCCAATTCAATTGGCATTTCATTGGCCCTTTTTATATCTTCAGAAATGATTGGTCGTCTAAAGCACTCCCAAAGTCTGTTTATACAGACACACGTCTCCGTTCCCTATTCGGGGAACGTGGTTTACGTACATAACCTGGACGTTCTACAACAAGTAGCTTTGTTTCAAGAACTGCAATCTTTTGTAGACGTCTGTGGCATTTTGTGCAGCAGTGAGATTTTGGGTCAATCTATATCTATCGGTGGCTTTTCCACAGCCTTCTGTGTTTTTCCCTTTCAGGAATGTAAGCTGGTGGTAGCGGGAGGTTGTTCAGTTGAAAATTCCACTCTTGTTAGTAAAGATATATTCCAGAAAGTTTGTAGATTTGATATTGATCTTCAAGCTGTGTCATTTGGGCACTGTGCTGATAGGCTGAAGTTAAAATTAGTAAATAAAATATTAAAAGCAACAGTGCAATAAGCAAAGCGGTAGGCAAAGACGTCCGAACAGTAGCAAAGCAGGAAGTGAAGCATGATACAGATACAAAAGGGGGTTGAATTATTTGTCAAAACATGTGATGTTAAACCTCAATGAAATTGCAAAAAAAAAATAAGACATGCTATCAACATACATAAAGGATGATCGCAAAACACTACTAAATATGATGCGACCACTGGGTCGCTGGTTTGATCCTCGGCTCAGTTGGCATTTCTGTGTGGAGTTTGCATGTTCTCCCTGCGTTCGCGTGGGTTTCCTCCGGGTCCTCCTGTTTCCCCCACAGTCCAAAGACATGCGGTACAGGTGAATTGGGTAGGCTGAATTGTCCGTAGTGTATGAGTGTGTGTGTGTGTGTGTGTGTGTGTGTGTGTGTGTGTGTGTGTGGATGTTTCCCAGAGATGGGTTGCGGCTGGAAGGGCATCCGCTGTGTAAAAACTTGCTGGATAAGTTGGCGGTTCATTCCGCTGTGGCGACCCCGGATTAATAAAGTTTGGCCATATTATCATAGTCATTCTAAAATGCATTAACACCATTTATACATTTCCACATTTTGTATTTACTTCTCCCATTAGCAAAGTGTCCCAGGCCATTTGAGAATTTCATGGAGCTGGAAAAAGATAAAGATGAGTACGACAATAAAGAAACTCTGAAATACAAATGCTTGAAGCCATACAATAAAATTCCAGGAGGAGAGTGGATCTGTGAAAATGGAAAATGGACTGGAGACTTTGTCTGCACAAGTGAGTCACTTTAAATTTGATGAAAATAAACCATAAGATTTATAGTTGGTCACATCTGACTAGCTCTGCTGCAAATGTCAGCTGGGAATGATTGTGAATACTGTAAAAACATGTTTTATGAATATCATTAACAGCATACTAAATGGTCACAATGCTGAAGTGATGACTATTAAAAATACATAAAATGGATTCAAATGTGTCTGATGTGGTAATTTGTTTAGGTGACATCTGCCCACCACCTCCTTATATTGAAAATGGAAGTTATAATAGTAGGAATCCAGATGATAATATCCCTACTGAGGTATCCTATAAATGCAATTCTTACTATGTGTTAAGTGGGAGAAAGGAATATTACAGGTGTGAAAACGGGAGATGGGAAACCCCTCCGAAATGTCTGAGTGAGTCATTCTTCTCCAGATGATTCTCTTGGATCACTCTAATCATGAAGTGAATTTTGAACTTAATATTTCATCAGTTTTTATTTGTCTCTGTCACAGAGCCTTGTGTATTTTCACAAGATATTCTTGAAGCACACAACATGAAACTCGATCAGCGAACAACCTTCTTAATGCATAATCATTATGATTACTATGATTGCAAGGATGGATGGACTACCGCTAATAGAGGATACCACTATATGAAAGTGACATGTCTCGACGGGAAGTCGGACATTAAATCATGTGAGTAGATGTGTTTATGTATAATCAGACATACAGGAATTAGCTTTACTCATTTAATATTAAGTCTTATTTAATACAAAGTTCATACACATTTTTACTACTAAAATTCCATGACTTTTCCATGATTTTTCCAATTTTCTTTCAAGTAAATTTTCATGACCTAATGTTTCATGCAATGTTTACAAATGCATGGTAAAAGAAAAACAATGCATGTCCAAATTAACTACAGCATATCGTATAACACTTAGCAATCTATTTAGTTTCATTTATATTATATCTATGGGAAATTGATTGAGATAATGCTTACACTGCACTAATAATGTGAGAGTATGTAATTGGCCAAGGACAGAATAGAAGACAACTAACGTTCGAGGTTACAGAAGTAACCCCCTTTGTTCCCCGAGGAGGAGAACGGAAATGCTATAAGTGGATTTGATTTTTGGAAATGACTTCACCTTAACAACGCCTCCGATGAGAGGATAGTCAAGTAAGCGTGAACGTTCCTACATTATGAGAGGCGCGGTCCTCCAACGTGGTTCCTGGCCCTTACTTAACCCACTTCAACAAAAGTTTTACAGATTTAGATTTTGGGAAGTCGCAAGCATCTAGATAATTTTAGGAATAACGACAGTACATTGGGAAGCGTGCAGTCCCGATAGGGAGGACGCTGCGGAGGCCATCAGCTACCCAGTGGGGAGGTATGATGGCAAGAACATATGGACTAGCCCTAAGAAGGGGAGAACGCAAAATAAAAGGTGGTTAGCGGAGAGGGAAAACACGGGTCCGCCCGAGAGGGAGGACTGAACCGTGGCAGAATAAGCATATGGGATTGCCTAGTGGGTATTACGCATAGCGGGCACCTATACCCAGAACGCGGGCTGACCGGTGGGCATGCCAACGTAACAGGCCAACATCTGACTCCTCCGCTGAGTAAGATGCTGGGGACCTCGGAGGAACTCTGTAGGGTTCACCGAACGGGGAATGGAACTGACAAAGCTGAAGAAGCGCACGTACCTCCGTGTTAGGGAGAATGGCGCAGCAAGCGTGTTTCAACACCCCAACCAAATTGTTTCCGCAATAACCAAGGGTTACCTAATAACCTTTAGGAAACCGGCTTCATTCGCAGATTGCAGCTCTGCAAATGTCTGTCAAAGAGGCGCCGCGTGCTAACGCCCAAGAGGATGCAATGCTCCGTGTTGAGTGCGCTCTCACCCCTGGGGGACACGGCTCACCCTGGCTCAGAAGAGCGAGGGAGATGGCGTCCACTCTACAGGGGGCCAACCTCCGTTTAGATACGGCACTTCCCTTCTGCCGACCACCGTAACAGACAAAGAGCTGGTCAGAGGATCTAAAGCTCTGAGTGCGGTCCACATAGGCTCGCAAAGCGCGAACAGGACGCAGTTATGAAAGGGCTGGGTCTGCCTCCTCCGCGGGCAGCGCTTGCAGGCTCACTACCTAATCCTTAAACGGCGTGGTAAGAGCCTTGGGCACATAGCCAGGCCAGGGTCTCAGGACAACGTGAGAGTAGGCTGGCCCGAATTTTAGGCACGAGTCACTGACCGAAAATGCCTCCAGTTCCCCGACCCTCTTAACCGATGCCAACGCGACCACCAGAGCTGTCTTCAAGGACAGAAATCTCAAGGATACTGGATCAAGTGGCTTGATGGGCTTCTCACGTAGGCTTGTAGCACTACCGCGAGGTCCCAAGAGGGCGTGAGAGGGGGCAGGGTGGAACGTATGCCTCTCACCTCTGAGGTACTGGATGATGAGGTTATGCCTCCCCACGGTGCCGCCATCTACGCATCAAGATGAGCAGAAATAGCTGCCACGTATACCTTCAGTGTGGAGGGCGACAGCCTTCGCTTCAACCTGTCCTGAAGGAAAGAAAGCACAACACTGATCTGGCAAGATCGGGGGTCATCTCGGTGAGAAGCGCACCACTCAGTGAATAGACTCCACTTCAGGGCCTTTAGCCTGTGTGACGGTATTAACCACCGCCATCGGTAGGTTACCGAAGTCTTCCTGGCGTCTTTGGACCACACGTGGAGGTTCCACAGATCTGGGCGAGGGTACCCGATGGTACCCTGTCCATAAGAGAGTAGGTGCTCTCTCAAAGGGACCCTCCAGGGGGGGCCGTCGCGAGAAGGGAGAGTTCAAAAATTCAAGTCTGATTGGGCCAGAGAGGTGCAACTAACAAGACCTGCTCCTTGTCCTCCCTGGGTTTGCACAGTAACTGCGCGGCAGGCTCACTGGGGAAAACGCAAGTGAACAGACTCGGGGTGGAGTCACCATTCTCCCGGGGCAAGGAGCTGCCGTGAGAGCCAGTTGGCCGCACGGTTGGGCTCGCCCGGCATGTGAACAGCACGCAGCGACTTCAGCCACATGTGACTCCGGAGGAGCAGACGGCGAGCGAGCTGAGACATGTGGCAGAAGCGCACATCCCCTATACACTTGATATACGCTCCTGTCGCCGTTCTGTCCGTCCTGACCAGCACGTGTTGCCCCCTCAGCACCGGTAAAAAGCAGCACAAAGTGAGAAACACTGTCAACAGCTCTAGGCAGTTGGTAGGCCAATGCAGCTGGGTCCCCTTCTGCAGGTCCGCAGAAGCATGCCCGCAACACATGCCAACCCCCCCACCCCCCCCAACTCGTACTGGAAGCATCTGTCGAAACGACAACATGCCTGGACGCCTAACCCAGGGGCACTCTGGCCCGTAGAAAAGAGGAGTCCCTCCAGGGGGTGGGGGCGCGGTGAAACAGCGGAGTGGAGTCACTCGGTGTGTGCCCGCGTGCCATGCGGGTCTGGGGACCCGATCGTGAAGCCAATGCCGTTGTGGTCTCATATGGAGCAATCCGACTGGCGAGATCCCGGCCACGGATGCCATATGCCCCAGGAGCCTGTGAAAAGATTTCAGGGGGTGTTGCAAAGGGCTCTTTATTCACCCTACTTAAGAACTGTGGACTGTTGCTGGCCCCTTGTGGAAAGACTGAGTATGTTTAGAATGTTCCAGAAAGTTTACCATACGTGTGTCAGTCGGTAATAGTCTGCAGAGCATGGAGCACATGAGAAACGTCCTCCTTTTCTAGCGGTGTTATTTAATTGTGTGCGTGCATCTAAATGTAAGTTGCTTCGTTCTTTAATCATATTTATCATGTTGTTTCAGGGACCACATTTCTCTGTCGAAGTCTCTTAGACAGTCCAGCACTGGCTTGACGTGCTCTCGAGAGAGAGGCACGCCTTTATGGTGATCGAGTCCAGCTCCAACCTGAGAATGGAGGGGCTCTGCACGAGGGCGAGCCAGCTCTCTTCTCGGTTGATCTGAAACCCTAACAGGTGGAGGTGCCAGAGCCCTTAGTCTCTGAGCATAGTCAATTTTCCCCGAGAGTGGGCTAAAATCAGCCAATGTCGGGAGAATTGAACATGCGGACGCCCGTGGGCCGAGGGGCGCGCGGGCGTCCTCCGCGAGCTTGGTGAAACCCCACGGAGACAGATAGCCTGAAGGGGAGGAACTTTTACTGTCATGCTCGATCTTCAAACGCAGACCGCAGAAACTGCCGGTGGCATGGAAGTATGGAGACATGCAGATACGCGTCCTTCAGATCTATTGCTGCAAATCAATCCCGAGGACGAACGCATCGGTTGATGCGCTTCTGCGTAAGCATTTCGAAGCGCAGCCTGTGACGGCAGCGGTTCAAAATGCGCAGATCTAAGACTGGCCAAAACTTATCGCTCTTTTTGGGCATGATGAAGTACGGGCTTTAAACCCGCTCTCCATCTCGGCTGGAGGGGCCGGCTCGATTGCATCCTTCGCCTAGAACACATCAGAGAAGAAATACACGCCTGTGAACTTGGGAAGCCATTACGCGAACTGTATCGCATAGTTGAGTCTGATCGTACGGATGAGCCATTGCGATGGGCTGGCCCGCGCTAACCAGGCAGGCAGAGCCCTCGCAAGTGAACCCGCCTGCACGATCGCTGACATACCCGCGGTGAGGCAGCGTGGAGTGGGTGGGCTCGCCCAGGGAGCGCAGGGGTCCCGCGGAAAAGCGAGAGGGAGAGAAAGGAGACCGTTCTCTCACACTCTGTGAGCCATTGGCGAAATGCTCAGTGCAAAAGTGGAAAGCATAGCGTACAAAACTGGCAGTGTTCAGGCTGTCACATCCGAGGAAAGGGGAAAAAGTTCTTTGAAGATTTGATGGTGTCTTTTTTTTTTTTTTACGTCGTTAAATGAAGAGCCCCACCCTCCATTGGAGAAAGAGCAAATTCCCTCCTCTCCGGATGGCCCGTCTCGGGGATGCTTCGCGGTCCGTTTACCAGACTTAGCGGCACCCTGGGGCGGGGGGGCGCTGACTGCCTGCGAGATGCTCGGCGCAGCCGCTCGGCCGGAGGCACAGGCGGGGCGGCGGAGCAAAAAGCTACAGACGAGCACCCTCGGCGAAAAGCAGTGGATGTGGATGGCTCGGTGGGACAGAGCGGTCTTACGATCCCGCTAATAGATTATAACACATCGCCTCCGACTGCTCCATCACTGGCGTGAACTCCTGGGCGAGTTCACTGATGGTGTCGCCGAACAGGCCAGCCTGTGATATGGATGAGTTAAAAAAAACGAACTTTGTCAACATCACACACATCACCAGGTTTAGCCTGAGGGGGCGTTCCTGGCCACTAAAGTGGTAATCGTCCTTCCCAGGGTGCGAAGCTCATGCCCAGTCCTGGGTCGGAGCCATCCTTGCCGCAGCTGGGCCAGCGCCTGCGCTTGGTAGCGCTGGTAGGTGGCCATAGCATGCAAAGCGAGGGTAGAGACTGTGCGCATCCAGGAAGAAAGGATTTTACACCCCTCTAGTCGGTCCGGCCGTGGGGCTGGGGATAAACCATCACCATCATCTTTTGCAAGAGCGAGCCGCGATCTTAACTGCGCAGCAGACATGACATCAAAGAGACGGCATGCAATGCCCGCGAGCACAGAATTAACATGCTGGACCCCCAGACATGAAACGCAGTGCTCGTGCCCATCGTCCGGGTATAGGAACCACCGCATCCAGAAATGCACGGTCGGAGCAACGTCTTGAAAAAGACGCGCTGCAAAACCGTGTTGCTCTTTTAGAAAAACTTTTTCCCTATATACAAACCGCTCTTGGAGGACCAGACCCAAAGAACGCCAGGCAAGGGAGAAAACCCAGCTTGACTGTCTGCCACTGCGTATACGCGCTATGGACCAGGAGAAGCTGCTTCTCGATCTCTCTCTGTAGACACAGGTAGGAGAACACTCAAAGACTCTCTCAGAAGCTATTGACAGGCTCTGAAGAGAAAAGGATAGCGAATGCTTGCTCCACCTGTGCTTATATGCGGAGATAATTGGCAATGAAGCACACCTGCGCAAGCTTACACTGCCAATTCAATGGCATTCATTGGCCCGTTCCATACTCTTTCAGACAAGCGGCTTCTGAACCGAATCCTCCCATACGTGGATTTTCCTAAAATCAAATCCACTTATAGCATTTCCGTTCCCCACCCGAAGGGGAACCAATATTCAAGTATACAGATATTTGTTTTCCATGACTTTTGTTGGTTTTTTTATTTTTCCAAAACTTTTCCAGACCTGGAAAATACCATGTCAAAATTCCATGAATTTTACTGGTTTTTAATGACCATATTAAACATGTTAATAGGTCTTTTTTTATTCAGGTTTGAATTAATGCAGGGTCAGTTATTGACAGCATACAGATATTCTTTAAATCATCCTTGTCAGTTAAACATACATACTTAAATATTTATTTAAACATCAGTTCACTAAAGAATGCAACATTTCCCTTATCCAATTTTCATCCAGGATGTCAATGTATTTATTTATTTAGTCAATTTTTTTTATTTATTTATTTATTTATTTATTTTTTTTGAGGAACAAGAGTAAGCTTTTTGATTAAATCATTCCAGTATTTTTCCACTATATAGTGAATTTCACTAGGGACCTATGGGCTGAAGTTCCAAACTGAGTTTTATTGGAGCTTCAAAGGGATCTAAGCAGTCACTTTGACTCGCTGTATATTAGTCCTTACATTTGATCAAATATTTCTGTTAAATGAACTTTCACTTATTCTTTTCACAATCTTGCCATTATTTAATTTACACTAAAACCTTTTCTTTGCGCAAAGGTGTTTGCATTTTGAGTGTTTTTTGCATTAAGGTAAATCAATTTGTTCAACTAAATACTAGTGATTTCAGTATATCATTTAAATCAATCATCTAAATATTGATGATTGTTCATATAAACAACAATGGATTCTGGGATATTTTGGTAATTGACATGCCTAGATGTCATTCTTAATCAATTTAATGTGCCCTTGCTAAATAAAACATTACTGTGATCAAAATTACTGTTAAAATACACTTGTTTAAAGGGGTGGTCCACATTGTAGTTTTAAGGCTTGGTTGTGTTTATAAGATGCAAAGCAATGTTTACTCATGTTTCACTTGAAGGAAATCGCGCTATTTTTTCATGTAGCTCACTTTGATTATACACAGCTACTCAGCTAACATGAAAACGACTGTCAAATTTCCTAGTTCCTCTGAAAGGCCCGCCCTTAAGAGACTCTGATTGGTCATCGTTATAATGTGCTGCGATTAAGTTATTTTCTGTAATATATCGTGACAGAAGAATAAAGCAGAAGATGTGGGATACTACCTGTTTGAGCCTGGATTTATTTTTCTGCTGCTAGCACTTTATTTTTTAACTCAACGCGTAACATGACGGCTTTCACGTGTATCCGGAATATGCAGGTGTAAGTAATATGAATCATCCACATATCTTTTGCGACTTCATTATCTGAGATGTGTAACGCATGTAAAAGCTGCCTGAAGACAATCAGTGCAGCCAGTTGCGTGCGCGCACACACATAAGAGACACGAACGTGCTGGTGGAGTGTGTGTGTTTACAGCAGTTTGACAGATAAATATGAGTTTGTAGCTAAATCGTTTGCCCGCAAAGCAGCATTACCCATTGTTTACATCGTTGCTACAGCATACAGTTACACTGTACAAACTGATCAATTTTAACTAATAAAAAACACTTACTGGTTGTACCTGAAAGCTTCTGCTTTGAGGAGATTTCAGCCGAATTCAGCACTGAACTGGGAGAGATTCTGGAGCTGTTTTGTCAAATCATGCTTCCTGTGTATTTTATAATTCTCTGGAACATAATTAATATTGAACTGTAAGCACTTCTGTGTTTGTGTCGTGTCCTATGGAAGCCTAAATACAGAAACAGACGAAGCTCTGTGGAATAGCACCGTTTCAACGCATTTTTAGCTTCATCTCTGCTATAACATTATAGCGCCTCTGGCCACAGGCCTTACCTGCTCAGTTTGGATGCAGAGTAACGAACTTTTGTGATCTCACAGGGGGCAGAAGTATTTTTTGTAGTCCCCAAAATTCGTTAATTGTAGGCTTTGCTAAGCTAACTATGTAAAACCCAAGGTCTCCCTTTGCACTGAACTTTTTACAATCAGAGATGTTGTTTATGTTCACACAGCTACATTAAACATCAACTAAAGTTTAAAATATGATATCATAGTGGACCACCCCTTTAAAATACATTTTTAGACTTTTAGACTAGACATTTTTAGAAGCATGACATTGGTCACCAGATTAGTTTAAAATGAGCCAAGCAACATTTTAAATGCCACAAATAATTCAGTATTTTTTTTCTAACAAATGCTTAGTTACCAGCTGCTTGTGCTCAGGTTTTACTGATATTATTGAAATGTGTGATTTTGCATTTCTTCAGGTCAGAAAGACACAAACTGAGAAAGTCCTGGAGTAAAACACTGAGGTAAGACACTATAAAACATTTAGATGACATTGAGAATGGCATTTAAATCACAATAGTATATTTTCTTTTAAAATGTGAATTTTGGTAACGCTTTCTTTTACAACCCTTAGAGTACTGTGTAAGTACAGTGATATAACGGTGTACTTTTCTGTTCGTATAGTATTGTATAAGTATAAAGAAAGTTTAAATGTAGGTGCAGGCATTATAGACTTTGAAGTGAAGAGTCTTTGCTGTTCAGTATATACTTAAATTATGTGTTACTTAGTAAATTGTAAGTAAATTTTACATTTGGGTGAACTACCCCTAAGGTTAGTTTTTCATTAAGTACATGTCTTAACCCATCATTAGTCCTTAATAAAGTAAATAGATTACATAATCGTATGGATGATGGTATACTGTTATAGACCTTTTTCACATTTCCTGGTTTGTCAGCAGCGAGCACAGTAAATAGAAATGTACAACACATTTTTTTACAAACCTCTTTGCTCAAATAAAATAAAACTTCACGATGGTGTTATCTCGACATTTAGAAAAAAAAATAGTGTGTAAGTAAGTGCGAGTGGTTTGCTGGCTGAAATCGTTATTTGCATTGTAAAAATGGTCTTTATTGACAGTGCTATAGCACAAAAATAGTTCTATATATTCACAATAACGAAACAAATATGTATATAAAATAATCATTAAATCATCAATAATCATTAAAAGGTCATTGAAATGTAAAGGTCATATGATCAACTGGAAGCTCGCAGCATCTTGTTTCTCATAGGCATTCTGTGCTCTCGTGGTTCGAGTTCATTCTTCCAAGGTAACCTGCAAGACATACCGGTCACCACATGAATGCAAATCTGTGCACCGACACAGCCATGGCCTTAGCTTTATTTCCTGCCCCTCACCTGAGAGACAAGAAAAAGATAATTTTTAGCATTTTTAAGTGGCAATAAACATGATGTTAAAGACATAATCTAATAACACATTTATTGAAAACAGGCAATTTCACATGAATAAACTTTGTCTGAAATATTTAATCTTTGCCCCGGTTTTACTGACGAAACTTAAACTTAGTCTAAAACGCATTTTACTGAAATGAAATTTCACTGAAGTGTCTTTCACTGGCATATATTGCACACTGATCTTTTTTTTACTGAGACATGTTTAAGAGTTTTTTTCCTAATTGATGGAATCATAGTTTAATCTCTGAAACTTGCATCTCAAAAATCTCGACACAAATTAGAAAATAAGTCAAGGTAAGGAATAGGGGATAATAGATACTTGCTTATTTTTTTTCTTTAATTTTTGCATTTTATGTTAATTGCTTTTTTTTTGTTTTTAAAAAAAAAAGTGTATATATTATTACTCATGCATATATATGTATATATATATATATATGTGTGTGTGTATATACATATAATATATATATATATATATATATATATATATATATATATATATATATATTAAGGGTGGATCCGAACCCGAATACGGTATTCGGAAAGGCACGAATATCGTGTTTTTACGAATACTTATTTCAAACAAATACTTGAAAAATTATTTGTATTCGGGAGCAAGAAAAGCATTATATCAAAAAGCAGCGTTTCCTCCTGAGACCACAGTACGTGAGTAAGAGAGAGAGCGAGAGAGAGAGAGAGAGAGAGAGAGAGAGAGAGAGAGAGACGCTCAGTCGGAGGGCGGGGCGGAGGTAAAAGGTCTCTCTCTGGCACAAGCTTCTCCACAGCAGCAGACAGAGAAGGCTCGGCTGAGCGAAAAAAATACTTCTCTGCATCACTATTTTTGTTAAATAGATTTTTGTACCTTAATTGGGTTCCAGATGCAGTTTATAAACTTGTAGCCGAGTTTGTTCGGGATTTTCCATTACGCTGCATTTTTGAAGTTTGCAATCGGGTGCTCTCTGTTTACGCAACGTTAGCTCTGTTAGCGCGGTAATTTAGACAATAGACTGTTGACAGAGTAACGTTAACATTCGTTTATAAAGGTTAAAACGATGCTTTTGCAGTTGTGTCGAATAGTATGCACTTATGGGGGTGTTATGGTACGTCTAAATAACTCTTTTGCAGACAGCAAGATATATGCTATAGGCTAGTTAACCTTAGCATAGCTTCCCGTCACTTTTTATTAACTTGAAACTCCTCAAATACATTTGGGCACCATGAAAAAGAGTGAGAGTGCTGCTGAGCCATTTCTTGGTCCTCCACCAGTAAAAAAATAAAACTTCATGTTCTTTGTGGAAGCATCTTACAGTCAGTGCTGCTGCAGATAAAACAAAGTGACACTGTATAATGTGTGCAAAAGTGAAATCAGCAGAGGCACAGATATTAAACATCTGTTAACATCTTCTATGCATAATCATTAATTTTCTTTTCGGCTTAGTCCCTTTATCAATCTGGGGTTGCCACGGTGGAATGAACCACCAATTTATCCAGCATATGTTTTACGCAGTGGCTGCCCTTCCAGCTGCTATCCAGCACTGGGAAACATCCATACACTCTCTTTCACACACATACAATAGGGACAATTTAGCTTACCCAATTCACCTGTATTGCATGCGTTTAGACTGTGGGGGAAACCGGAGCACCCGGAGGAAACCCACGCCAACATGGGGAGAACCCAGTCGAGGCTCGAACAAGCAACCTTCTTGCTGTGAGGCGACAGTGCTACTCACTGTGCCACCGCGCAACCTTCTATGTAATGTATTATCACATGCACTAAAAGCATCCTCTCCTGATACTGTCTATGAACCCCCCAAAAGCATCAATCCCCTCAATCAGCACAGCTATGTTCTGCTAAATCCTCCACAAGCACCAAACCATCAACACAGCCACATTCTGCCCCAGCAAGTCAGTTTCAAACATAAAAAAGTAAAAAAAAAAAAAAAACTTTGTGTCTGTTTTGTGGCTGGCAGATGACAATAGCAGGGCTGTATCTTTTAGTATTATATAGAATACTTTTGTTCTGCCAGATCTCCCAGGCAGAGTTTTATTTAGATTTATTTAGCTAATTTTAGTTTTTGGAATTCTGTGCATTGGAAAGAAGTTCTTTCAGAAGAAGAACAGTTTTTTGAAGTATTATTTGTTTTTATTCTGTCTATTCAGTGTCCTTCAACAAGAACGGTGGTGGTGGGGTTCATAATATTCACAATGGTATTTTATTAGTTGTTGGTTTAACCATGGATGAGATAATGGCTTCTATGTTATTTTCTTTTCAATGACATTTCTTGTCACATGTTCAAAAACAACAACCAATATTGCATGTCTATAATTTATATAATGGGTATAATTAAACAATACTTTCACTATAACGTAAATTAGAAGTGTTAAAGAAAAAATATATATTTTTGCGCAATTTTGAATTTTACTCGAATACAAATACAAATACTTTTCCCCCCTCAACAAATACAAATACCGGCATCCCTAATATATATATATATATATATATATATATATATATATATATATATATCAATGTTTTATTTATTGGCATTGATTGTTTTAAAGTTCAAATAGCAATAACATGCCTGTGTTTTATTTTCTGCAATAAATATGGCTGTCAAGCCAGGATTTGGACGGTTTATTGTGGGTATGTTGTTTACATGATGAAATATGTTACAAGTTAAACAAAAATTATAATAAAGAATTATATTTTGAATTTAAATAGTTGTTGTCTTGTGTTTACATTAATTTTACATTTGAATAGCCAAAATTACAAGTTTCAGTCTTTTTAATGAGATTAATCGTGATCAATTTTCAAAAAAGCGTGATAAATCAGTTAATTTTTTTAATCGATTGACACCACTAATATATATATATATATATATATATATATATATATATATATATATATATATATATATATACACACACACATACACACACACACACACTGAAACCCCTAATAAGTTGACTGAACTAAATTAATTGAATTAGTAGTAAGTTTGGTGAACTGAACAGTTTAAGTAAAGTCTACAAAACCGGCAAGTTAAATAAACATAATATGCAAGTTTTGGGAGACTCCATTTCTCAATTAAATTGAGGCACTGAGTTTAGTCAATTAATTTAGTTCAGTTAACTTATTGGGGTTTTTAGAGCAAAATTATGCAGTCCTACTAGTATGCGACACTGACAACAAAGGTGCGGATCCACATGCAGGTTTATTAGGATGGTCAGGCAAGCAATAGTCAACACAGGGGCAAACAGATGTATAAGGGCAATCCAGAGTCGTAGTCAAAATAACAGGCAGATGGTCAAAAGGCAGGCGGCAGACAGGAATACACAGATAAACAAGGCAAGGATCAAACACGGCAAAACAAGACAAAGTTAAACATACTGTAGTGTCACTAAAACAGGAGACAAGGCTCAGATACAGTGTTTGTGTTTGTGCTCCTTATGTAGTGCACTATTCAGTCCTTGAGCAGCTTCAGCTGTGGGAGTGTAATCAGTCATGATCTGGAACCAGTCTGGAAACAGTGTGTGTGTGTGTGTGTGTGTGTGTGTGTGTGTGTGTGTGTGTGTGTGTGTGTGCGTGTGTGTGTGTGTGTGTGTGTGTGCGTATGTGTGTGTGTTGTATGACTGGGTGTTGTAGTCCATAACATGGCGGATTTTTAGATCCTATGAATGTAAGAGTGTGTACCAGCGATCTCAGGTAGTAGATTGCTGGTGTTCATGACAATATTTAAACTTTTTTCCCTCTGCGCTTTAATTATTAACAAGGGGGAACAAATACTCCATTTACCCTTTAACCACAGGGAACAAGGAGGGAAGAAGAATATTTGAACAGTAATAACAGAGAAAGCGTAAAGAAGCAGTTTTAATTAATTGAAGACCAAATTACTACATTTTTCTATAAAACATGAGCTAAACATTCACTGAAATGTAATCTCACCCACCCCCCCTCTCTCTCTTCAAATGGCAGTAAAGATGCTAGCCTGTTTTAATCCACATTGAACCCTGACGTTAGACCTATATCACGCAAATTTATTCGTTGATAGTTATGTTTAGACATTGACGGCTGTGGTGAGATCGACGAGTAAACATTCAAAAGGTAAGTAGTGTATGGAAATATATTTTATATTGAATTGCAGATTTAAAATACACACAGTATACAATAAGGGTTTATATTTTCACAGGTTGTAAACCTTTTATTCATTAAACACCCCATATAAAGCCCAAGCACTAAGGGTGCTATTATTAATGTACTTACGCAGGTGTTTCCAGGTTGATTTAGGTTGTCACCATTCTTGCATAATGTTTTATATGTATACAATACTTAAAGAAAAGTACATCATATATTCAATGTACTTACATGGTACTTTGCATGTTGAATATTTTATTGTTACCCCCTTATTACCCAAACATTATGGTTTGCTCCTTTGCAATTTATAGAAAAATACACCATAAATTCAAAATACTTATGCAATATTTTGCGTGTTGCATATCTGGTTGTTACCCCCTTATTACCCAAACATTACAGCTTGTTCCCTTATACCTATACATATGTTCTTACACTATACTTACAGAAAAGTCAACCATTATTTCACTGTGCTTACACAGTACTTTACAGGTTGTAAAAGAAAGCATTACCCGAATGTTAAATAGGATAAAAATCCTGTAATATTCATTATTAGTAAAGCAATCTTTGTAACTATGTTACTCTGTATTTATTAGTGCTCTGTATGAAGATCTGATGAGTCCTCAGATGAATGAAGATGGACAAACATCTCTCTCTCTCTCTCTCTCTCTCTCCATCTCTATCTATCTATCTATCTATCTATCTATCTATCTATCTATCTATCTATCTATCTATCTATCTATCTATCTATCTATCTATCTATCTCTTGCTTGATACTTCAATCTGCTGCATCAGTTAAAGTAATATGACATTGCATTAACAATGCTTGAGAATAAAGCTTATATTCAACCATTACAGTAAGTGTGGTCTCTTTTTACATTTAACTCCATTTCCTCATTTTATTTACACATTGGAGTGTTAGTAAATGAAAAGTGTGTGGTGAATAATAAAAAATAATTGCTTTCTAAACAAAATCACAAGATTGGTTGTAATTATTTTTGACAACCACATTATTTTAACTTTAAATAATGTAATAATTATAACTTTAAAAAAAATATGGCCTTGTTTTATGGCCTTGGAGATTAAAAGCCTGAAAAAAAAACACATTTAAAAAAATACTTGAAATTATACTTGTATTATAAGAAATTTACATTGACCTTTCTACCTGTTATGAGTGTTATGGAAAGGTTTGACATACAGTGGAGAAGGATGCAAGTGCAGCTTTACTGAACAACTTGCAGTCCAAGTAACAATGAGCAATGCATAATACTCAAGAAAATTAAAACTCAAAGCAAAACAAATTTACCTTGCGGTTTGCTCCAAAGAAAAAAAAAATGTATTTAATTTCTGAATATCTTTAAACAAAATTTGAATAAAAGTTGGAGCTAGTTGATATCTTTTCATCTGCTTTTTTAAACTAAGAAGCTACGACTCAGAATACTGAGCTAAAGCTTGACTACAAAATTAAATCGAAAATCAAATCAAAAACACAATATCTGTTTTAATAATTAAAAAATATGTTTAATAATAATAATCAAATTGCAATTAGATATTTTCTCAAATCTCACAGCCCTAAGACAGAAGTAACATAACTTGAATAAACAGAACCAAATGAGATAAAGACACACAGCTGAAATCAAAGCACAATTAAGAAAGCAAAGAAACATTGCAATTGAAGTCCAAAAGATACAAAAGTCTAGATGCAGTGCTCTAAAGGGTGCCTCATGGTCACTACAGTCTAAGGTTATGAAATTGGGTGCATAATCAGTAATAAATAGAGAAGCAAACCGAATATTATTTACTTTAGTTTTAAAAATCACAACAGATAAAAAAGGACAAGACTGTTGTATATTAACTCTCCAGATTAATTGCATCAGCTTATTAAAATTATTTTAAAGTATTGCAATATTACTGAACCTTTAAGGATTAAATCATTCTAAACAGTTTAGTTCGATTCAATATCAGCAACATCGTGCACACAGGCAAGCGTTCAGACAAAAGTTTCCTGATTATACTGTCCTTGTGGATCTAATCAATGAAAAGCAATGATATAGATTACAGGTTGAGCTATTTGTTGCAGGTTTTTTCAACTGCTAACAAGCATTGCGCAATACTGAAGACACAAGTTTAAAACTGTTCAGGCAATCAGAAGTCTAAATGGAGCAAATTGAGAATTATCTTTCGCTGCTTTCACACAAAATGCATGGAATAAACACATTTATTGCACAATTTCTAAAATGTTTCTTTTCATCAATACTATTTTAAACATCCTCACATTTTCCACATGCTAAACTCATTTTAAATCTGATAACAACAATGGTAAATATCATGCACTTTCTGCTGTATTTATTTAAAAATAAAATAGACAACATTACCAGGAAATTAAATCAAATAAAAAATGTCAGTTATAGCTAAAAACTGATTTTGTTAAGAAATATGGATCAAAGAAAAAAGGTTGGTAGAGAAAGAATGGTTATAGATGGTGATAGAATATTAATATAATGACAGTGGGACATTATGGAGGACAAACGAGAAGAAGACCAAGAGACCTGATCTCTGATGAGGCAAGATCCACTGTGTATCATGTAGTAAACAGGCTGTCACTGAGAGTACAAAATGTACAGTTTCTACATCAATAGTATGACAAAGCAGGTGAGAACAGCATCCTTTCATGATAATGGAACTTACTGTGCAATTTAAGTACAATACAATGTCTTAATTTCTACATCTACCACCACTTTAAACTAGAATTCACTACATGACAGAAACTGTTTTTTATTGGTTATTCCTAAGGTTGTCTCTCTAGCTTGCAGTTCAGCAAATGTTTTACATGTAAAGTACTACCTTTGCAACAAACTGAGAACTGTCAGTGGTTTAGGGACACAAGCTTTTTTTTGAGACGCATATTAAACGTTGTGCTGCTCTGGAAAAGGAAATCGTGAAGTTGTTTTAAGAAGGCAGACAAGATTATTCTTTTATTAGGAATTAAAGTTCCACTGGCATCAGTTAAAAGCTTTTTTATCTCTTTGCTGCAACAGGCTGATTTGGGAATTCATGCTTCAGCCTGCATTATTATGAAACAGCAGAAACAGATGCAATATGTTTGACTGCAGTTTCTAAGTAAGATGAACACTATGGAGAAATGTGATGCCAATGACTTTTGTTCCATTTCACACTCATGATATTAACGGGAATATATTATAGATGATAAAAGCATCTTTTTCATGCAGTTCTTCACACAACACCAAATAAATACCACAAGACACCTTAACAATGTCTACACTGGTCTACACTACACTACTAGTGGAAACTTAAACAAATTATTTTGACTTGTTGCAATTAAATAAACTAAGTTTGACAAACTTAATTTATAACAGTTTTCAGTAATAAATTAAGTTAGTTATTTTAGGTGTAACATGTTTTAGTAATTTATTTATGGCAAATATAAGCATGGTTTACGATCAATAATAATCAATACTTGTTTTTGCCACAAAACATAAAAGTATTATTTTTATATTAACATCAGAAGAGAATTATTTGTATGGTAATAAAAGTATTAACTATTATAATTACATGAACAATATTAAATTTAATGATTCGTACTGTACTCTATCTACTGTTTCATTCTTGTTTTCTTTAAAAAAAATTACTAAAACTTGTTACACCTAAAAGGATCAACTTAATTGTCACCGACTCGGTCCCAGTCATTCCCGTTGCTGGCCAGCAGAGGTCATCATCAGCGGACTATTGACATTACGTCATCCATTTACACTGATAGCCTACACACCTGACACGCATCCAGCAATCACTCTCCACACACATATAAGCAGCACACACACGCTGCTTCATACGCTTATTTCACGTGGACGCCATTTTAAAGAACCAAAGCGAGGCTGCGGTGGGAAGAAACCCGGAAGTATCGGACCAGCACTGTAAACATTGCAGCAACATGCTGTGTACTACAAACCTCCAGTTGTTGCCAAGATTTCAAAATGCAGAAATGGTGTAGCCATCACTTTAATATTATTCAGTAAGTTTATTTTAAACAATAAAAGCAATTTAGCATCAAACAAGATCACAATCTCTGTGATACGCTTAAGTGTCCTCCTAGGCTGCAGTTCATGGCACTAGTTAAACAACTTGAGGATGCTTTCCTGCTTCAGCCTATGTAACCCGGTTGGTGATAAAACACTGCAGCTCTGTAGCACACCCTCGTGTTATCTGTAATAGGGTTGTCCTGGTAATGAAGTTTTAAACCCGGCTGTATCTGTGTTTGGTTTGCGTTCAGTTTACCACTCTTCACCCAGTGCAAACACAGATACATGGACTGGAGCGCGAAGCAGCCGTCAAGATCAGTGGAGTCATCAAGCAGATCACTCGGCTCGTCTGTGTTTGTGCTCAGTATACAGCGGTGGGTGAACTGATGACCTTCTCAGCCAATCATCATTGCTGGTGAACACAATGGCAAATCAGCGCTGTTTTAAGAAAGCCATCAACATTGCCCCAAATGTTATTGCGAAATTGCCGGTTTTCTCTTAATTCAGTATCGTGACAAGTCTAAAATAGTAAAAGAATCAGTTTATTAACTCGAGTTTGATAAATGGCATCTAAAACGTGTGTTTCGGAAAGAAAACCTTAGCTAACTAGTGCCATTTCCCTTAACTTCGCTAAAAATTAGCTCTGAAATCCCTTTTTACATTCACCATTCATTCAGAACAGACCTTCGGGTCACCTGGAAGGCGGAGAAATTATAAATTTGTGTCAATATCTGATTAGATATATAGCCAGTTACAGAACATTCCTATGTGACTCCCAATGATACTTCTGGGTTGCTTCCCACCGCAGCCTCGATTTCGATTTTGAAAATGGCGACCGCGTGAAATCAGTCAATTGCGAAGTCTTGTTTTGCCCCGGCTAACACTACTGAGCGTTCTCATCCTTGCCTGCTTTCCCGTTGTTATCTTGCTTCGTTTACTGACCCAGTCCTGCCTGCCGCCTGCCTTGTACTTCAGCCTGAATCCCGACTTTGATCCTAGCCGCCTGCCTTTGAACTCTAGCCTGCTTACCGACTCTGACACTAGCCGCTTGCCTCTGACCCATGGCTGCATACTCATCCTGTGTTTACCTGCTACCAGACGTTGGAAGCATGCACTCTTGGTGATGTCAGTGCGCTCACAGCTTAGTTGCTTTGGCGCTTTCCATACAGACTCCCAAAGTCTGTTTATACAGACGCACATAGAAGTTTCCACATGAAGGGGAACGTCCAGGTTACGTACGTAACCCACGCTCCCCGAATAGGGAACGGAGACGTGTGTCTCCACTGCCACAGCACCTGAGTCTCCAGCTGGGAGCTGAGCAATCGGCTCTTCAGCAGGCAAAATTCTGCTGAGCTAACTCACACAGCCAACTAATATAGCCCTAATTGGCTCATCAGTAGCCGCATTTCCACTATCAGGCCAGTGCGAGCCAGGGCTTTTATCGGGCCAGGCTGGGCCAATCGCCCAGGAAGTTGAGCAGTGAGGCCGAAATCATGCCACGTTTCCACTGTCGGGCTAGTAGCTCGCTGCACGTCACGCAAACCACGCCCCTAGAACATCCCCTGAATCAAACGTCACACAACCCACCCACTTCAGCAGGTATCAGGCAGTTAAAGCACACCACATCATCACGAAACTATTAAAATTAGGACAACCAAAACAAACAAATGACACGTTACTGTACAGCAGTACATTATATGTCTATACACACATACCTGTGTGTTCTCATTTATCATATTTATTTACTCGCTGAACGACTGTTGGC